GGCGCACGCGAGGATGATTTAACCCTGATTTACATCACACCGCAAAACCCCTCCTGCTTTCTCAGGAAGCCAGAGGACAACTCACTGGTCCTGCTGGCGTTATCATTGCCGCTCTCATAGCAGCCGTGGCCGCCGTCGTCGGTGTCGGAGCGCTCCTGCCGCTCGTAGTGCCGCTCGCTCTCGCTGGTCCGGTCCCGGCTGGAGGCGGATCGCCGCCGACGCCGCTTCCTCCGGTATCCCCGGGGCACTGGTACCCCGATGTAGATGGAATGGTAATCTGGGATGGGAAGAAAAGAATTAGAGAGCGGGTTTGAGCATTTCTAGCTTGTAAAGCCTTCCTCCTAGCAGGCTCAAAGCATCCACAGCCCAGAACGCTCGGGGCTCTGGACGGTCCCGCTGCCACACGACGGGGATGCTCGCTGTGTCGCTCACCTTCTTCATCGTCGTATCTCCTCCTCGAGCTGCTCAGTCCCCGCTCGCTCAGCCCATCCTCATCCTCCAGCATGGTCCTGGCTTGTGGTGAGAGCTGAACGGGGAGTCAAGGGTAGAGAAAGGGGAGAGGGAGTGAGAAGGGCCGGGAAGCAGCCCCTGTGCTATGGGTAATCCCTGCTATGGGAAGCTCTTGCATGTGGCCAAAAGCACGGGGACCTTCCCGGAGGGCTGAGGGCACACTGGGGTCTGCCACCTCCTGCAATGTGCTGACCCTCCCCCCAGAGCAACTCAGCCCTGCCTCACTCTGCACCATCGCTGCACCTTCCTCCCGTTGTCCACATAGCTCAGAAATGGATTTGATTGGGGTGACATCTCCATCCTTCCCTCCTGCTGCTGGCAGGAAGGTGTAAGTGGTTATTGTGGTTATTAGAAGGATTTCCCAGTATGATGATGGAGACCTGCTTGGCTATCAGAGCTGCTGCAGTGGGGCTGGTTGGGGAATAAACAGACATTTAACTTCTAGGGGGATGAGCGCAGCTAAAAGGGGTTGTGTCAAAGCAGAGTTTGTCTTTCCCCATATCCTGAGCACAATCTGATTTTCTGCTGCACGTTTCCACTTCCAGATATCTTCCTACAAACCTTTGGTTTTAGTTCCCATGCGAGATTATTTGGATTTTGCCATGGACACTAATTAATCTTCCTAATTATCTGACCTCCAGGGATTGTCTTTCACACTTGACTTGGATGGGGGAATGGTTACTACTAGTGGCAGCCCAGTCGATGCCTCCCAAAGTCACTTTGAGAGCAGCTCTCTCTGCATCCCCCCCTCTGCCTGCCTGCATCCATGGCAATTTACTGCCATTCATCTCCTGCAGGGAAGTAAAATCCCAATTCAACCCCAAAAAGGTTTAAAATAAAAAGCAAACTAGGTGTGCACACAAGGAGCCAGAAGGATCTTTTGCTGGCCAGGTCAGCTCTGCTTGAGTTGCTTAATTCTTGACTCGTTTTTCCCCAAGGCAGAGACCACCTTGTGACCAACACGGGCTCCAACTCTAGCTAATTACCACTTGAAGACATGAAGACATCCCCTGATCTAACAGATTTGGGGTTTTTGACCACTTTAATCCAACTGTTCTTGCTCAGGTGTAGGAATCAATCAATTTTAAAGGTAAGCAGCTCTAGGTGGACAGCCATACCGCAAAGCTGGCTGTATTGGAGGATAACACTCATCAGCTGTGAGCTTTGGCTTCCTGCAAATAACATTATGGGGCTAAATCTGGGGATTCAGGAAGCTGATGTTGGCAAGAGAAACAGCATTATACTTAACCAGCTAAATGTTTTTGCTTTAAAACTGACCTAGCAGATGAATGCCATGAATCCCCCCACAAGAGATTTCCCCAAGGGCAGCAGTGTTGGGTGTGGATGGAGACACGCAGCCCTCCCACTGGGTTTACATTGCTAAGAAATATGAATTATTATTATTTTTTACAACCTATCCTGGCCAACACGAGCTCCACCACAGCTCTGTTTGGCAGAAAAAAACCCCCACAAAACTCACTTCCCCAACAAAAACACACTTTGCTAAATCTGCTGATAAATAGGAGTCCCGACTGATGTATCCAAGCTGTGCCTCGGGATGTTTGTCATCTCATTTTTTACATAGGCAGTTTTATTTCCCCCCAGAAGTCTTTGCATATAAACACAAGCATGACACAGACTAGAACTATAGGGGAAATATGACCTAAAGTGCTGTAGAAGTAAAAAGAGAGAGAAAAAAAAGAGCACATCCATACTACCCAATTAAACCCCACTATCCCAACCAGCTTTCACTTCCAGAAAAACAAACGTTAGCATCAACAAACTCACCTCTGGCTCTCCAGAAGCACTCAGAAATTGAAGGGGCTGTGCCTGGTGTGGGGATGCAGTGGGTGCTGATGGATGCAGGAGCCTGGACTGCCTCGGGAGGAAACCACTCCTGCAAACATCGTATTGACGCCCATTGGCTGCAGTTCTGTAGCTCCCAGGTTAAAATGTATTTTTGGGTAATGCTGATTGACTTTCAGGGTAGAAAAGCATCATGGGACATAAATAGACCTTCAGAGAGGTTGTGACATTCATGCCATGAAGACCTGGTGGCGTGCAATGACAATTTCCAGATGGGATGTAACAATATTTTGGCTGCCGATCCCTAACCATCCATGATCTGTCTCTCCTGAGTTAATTGTTACCTCTTTAATTATTGATTCCTATCGGTTTCCCCTCGATTGATGGGGAACGGGGAGAGGAACAGCTTTTGCTCTTTGACTCAGTGCAACCTCACACACAGCTGCTAGCAAAGAACATGAGGAAATTACTTGGGGAGGTGGGGAAGCACCGCCAAGAGGCAGAAAGCTCCTGAACCCGCTGGGGACCACAGGACCAGCCCAAGTGCCACCAAATTCTTTGCCTTTTTGATAAACGTTCCACATTTTGCCTTTGACACATGAAATATCCCCAAATTTGAGCACAAGAGAGCCAACCTCTTGGCTTTGTGGGTGGGTGAGATGCTCCCTCGCCTGCCTGAGTCTATTTAACGCCTGGCTTGCTCACGTCTGTTTAGCCTTTTAACAGGGATATCAATAAATCTGCATCAAAGCAGCATCAGACACTTGGCTGCAGACCGTCCCATCGCTCAGCAAACAAGCAGAGAAATCCTGCTTTGGGCTTTAAGGCTGTCTGATAGCAGTGTTTTTCCTCTCACCTCTCTGGCATCGTCTGGAGTCTCAGCAGAAGCAAAGTCTGTTGGATGCTTTATCCCTGTTTGTTAAATGAGAATAGCAGAGCAGGGTGCCAAGCCTCCATGCACATTACATCCACTGTATCTCTCATCACTCAGTGCCTGCTACAAAGCATCCCTTGTTAGTCCAGGTAGGAAAACCTGCTGAGTCTGACTTGCTATGTGCTGCACTCCAACCTTCCTAGGCTCTGCCCAGCTAGGAAATGGTAGAGAGACAACAGCAGCAGCTTGTCCAGTAATAAAGAAAAGAGGAAAATAACAGAATGAATTTTCCCCAGCTATTACATGGAAATTAGCCCCAAAGAGCAGGCTGGATTTATCAGCTTGTATATATAATGGTTTTATTAAGTGCTTCCCAGAGACTGGAGGAGGAAGGAAGAAAAAAAGCAAAATCTCTGGGGCTTGTGAGATGCCTGGATGAAGGCAAACACCTGTTATTCCTTAAATGATCTTGAGCACCTGGAGGTTTTGACCTTCTTCACCTGCAAGAAATCCCACAGTGTTGGTCGCATTGCTTTAAAACCACTCAACAACCCCACTACTGCTGGTTCACAGCTCCATTTTCAGTGCAACCTATGGGAACCACCCCGTGCAAAAAGCCCTTTCCAGGTGGTGGGGAGGGTTTCTCATCTGGTTAAAGGAAAAAAAGTCTCAAAACAGGCAGAAGAGGGAGACAGAGCCCAGCAGTTGTATGCAGCACAGTGCATTGGGTGCCCACATTATAGAACTTGGCTCCTGGCTTCCAAAACGCCCTTATTAATAAGAAGCACATCTAATAACTCCAGCCTTTCTTTTGCTGGGGGGCAGAGCAGAAAGAAAAAAAAAAAAAACAAAAAGAACAACACATTTTTAACAGCAGACTTTCTGTTCTTTCCTTTCCGTTTTTGCTTGTGAAGTGACTTTGCACACTCGATGGATGCAGCTGCCACCACTGCCCTGAGGGTGCCCATGGGTTCCTCCTGGGAGAAAACATCTCCAATCGATGCCTCCTCCTCTGCACTCACCGAGCTGCGTTTGGCTTTGGGCTGATGGATGGCAAAGCTTCAACCAATGGGTTACAGCTGAACCAGCACAGGGGAGCCTGCAAGGCTTTCACTCTTGGCTTGTTTTGATAAAAACGCACTCATATTTTTGCAATTCATCTGCCCTGGGCTTCCCTCTGTAAGCTTGATTCCCAGCATGGCCCATTTATCCCAGTCAGCATATTTAATTCCTATATCCTGAGCAATGCAGAAGGGAATTGCTGCCTTCATCACCAAGATGCTGCAGTAAAAATAAGGAATGTTAAAGAGGGAAAAACCCTTTCCTTGTCTGGTCTTTAGATTTGGTCTCTGGAAAAATCATGGAATCGTTAAGGTTGGAAAAGACCACTAAGATCCCCCATTCCAACCCCAACCCACCCCACCATGCCCACTGACTGCTTCCCGCAGTGCCACATCTCCACGGTTCCAGAATACCTCCAGGGATGGTGACCCCATCACCTCCCTGCACACCCTGTGCCAGTGCCCAACCAGCCTTATGGAGAAGAAATTTGTCCTCATATCCAAGCTGAACCTCCCCTGGCACAACCTGAGACCATCACCTCTTGTCCCATCTCTGTTAACTGGGAGCAGAAGCCAACCCCCTTCACCACAATCTCCTTTCTGTGGTTGTAGAAAGCCACAAGGTCTCTCTATGCTTCAGGAGGTCAGGCTAAATGTGAACATAAGGACACCCCAACGTGCACTGGTGATGCTTCTTCCCTCCCCAACGACTCAACCAGCATGCAGCAAGTGCCAGTGACGTTGCAAAATAGAACAGCAGTCACATTTATTGTGTAAAAATTTTTTTTAAAAAAGATGTACAAATACTTCAAGTCAGCAATGTAGCAAAAGGGCCCCGGGTAGCTCATGTGCCCACACAATGCATTGCACTGTTACAGCCTCCCAATGCTACTTTGCAGTTTTCCCCAAAGGGATCTCCTGAACCTGAGAATACATTGCAACATTTTCACATTCAGCATCAGCTGCCTCACTGAGAGTTTTACTGAAAGCTTCTTTTTCCACCGTTGCTTTCAGCCCTCCAGCTCCTCACTCTTGGCTGCAGCACACACGCCTTCCTCCTCTTCTTCTTCCTCTTCCTCCTCCATGGGATTGACAGGGATGTATCCTCCTTCCTTGGGCAAGCACCAGCACCAGCCTGCACCGCTCAGATCCAAAGCCCCGAAGCTGAAATCGCGCACCTCCAGCATCCTGAAGTCCACGGTGTCCAGCTGGGAGTAAATCTCATTGAGCTTTTGCCAATACAGCCACGCCATCACCAGGCCGACCACCTGCAAAATGCACAAGTCAAAGCCACCACAGGCATGCAAACCACCCCCAAAGGTCTTTGTGTGCAAGAGGGGCTGTCACCCTCACTCCCCAACCTGAGCGAGAGATGGGAGCGGACGAGATGCAGTAATGCCAGCTGACAGAGCAGGAGGATCTTTGCTAAATCTGCTGACAGTTCTGTCTGTCTCATGACTTCCCACGCTGGCCCTGACCGTGGGCCATGCTGGATATCACTGTGAGCATTGCAAAGAGAGTGGCACAGGTCTGCGTTCTGGCTAAAATTAGGATAACGCTGCAAGCAAGGTGCCACTTGGGTTATTTCCCTGCTTGGCTGTCAGGGGGGAAAAAAAATACAATTTAGATCTTAAGGAGGGTGAAGACAAGCATTTCCAGCAGTCCAGGGATTCGAGTCCGTCACTTGATTTCACCCGATGCTTCCTTTGGGGTGATACCTGTACCATCCATCCACTAGCATCTCCTGCAGTACTGCAGTGCATTGCTCTGGGAGCTGAAAAAACATCTTTTGATCACTGAGCTGTGTCCTAGCTGATCCATTAGGGTCTGCAAAGGGGGAGAGTGAAGGAAAAGACAAATGGGGATGTCATGCAGCTTAAACCAGGGATCAGTGGGGACTTCCAGATGGAAAGGAGGCAAACTCCTTTTGGTGAGAACTATTGGTGACAGGTTGGACTGGATGATCTTCTGGGTCTTTTCCAACCTTGGTGATTCTATGATTCCACAGGGAAAAAGCACATCACAAAAAGTGTTATCTGCTGAGCTGAAAGCAAACACAGGCAAACACAAACAGCATCAGGTTCATCCGTTTGCCTTTCAGGAACAGAAAAATGCTCCACCAGCCCCACCAGCAGTGCCTGTGGCACAGAAGATACCTCCATACCACTCAACCTTGGTTTTCCCTCCCCACATTCTCCAGGAGGTGGATCCAGAGGGGAAACCCACTCAAAGCTGATAGCTCTTTGCTCAACACAAAATGGGGAAAACCACATCCACTGGGGTGCTTTCCCAGCATAAAGCCCTCCCTCAAGGTCTGCTCCCCGCTCTGAGTCTCATCTTGACTCCACCAATCCTCAAACAGCATCCTGCCTATGTTACACTCCACCTAATTATGGCAAACAATAAGCATCTTCACCCCCTTGATAACAGGATGAATCACCAGGACAACAGGCATGGTGCAGGGGATGCTGTGTGGTTATGGGCAGCAGGGCTCTCACCAAAATGGAGAAAGAATCAGTGAATGCCATTAGGGTTCTTTGTTGGGAAATAGGATTGCAGATACTGCAAGAAAAATTGAGCTGCAGGGACCTGTGGGGAGGAGGGATGCAGGAGGCCAAGGAGATGCGTGGTGCTTGGAGGTACCTTTATCTCCCTATGGAAACAAGAGAGAACACAGAGCAACCACTGCAATGCCCATGCTGAGAATAAGATTGTTCTCATCCACATCCAACAGCAGAGCCCCTAAGGACTTCAAAAGTTTGAAAATAATATTCAAATATACGTCATGCTCCGGCATTACTTACATCTGTGAGGTCATTGGGCAGATTAACAGCCCACTGCTGTTAGAGTGAAGGGACCAGGAAAGCAAACCTCTTTGAAGGGACACAGTTTTAGGCAAGCACATAAAATTTTTCCTTCATTAACCAAACAGTAATTCAGGAAAAAAGATTTGTGTCTACAATAACTTGAATCCAAATCGATCCTGTTCTGCAAAATCAACCAGGTTTGGGGATGCAGCACTGGAAATTTGCCTCCTGCTTCTCTCCTCCTGATGGGACACAGCATTGGGATGAACCAGGGGATTTATTTAACTTCATTAAGGTATCCCACATCCTCAACCAGCAGCCTGCATCCCCACGCCTTCACTCTCTTCTGAGTAATGAACCAAGTGCCATTCCAGCTCAGCTCTAAATATCCTCTTCCACTTAATGAAAATGGAAAAAGCTGTCAGGAATATAGATGAATTCAATATCCCCAGCACCAAGGGCACCATGTTTTCCAGAAGTAAAGAGACTTCTAATGGGAGTGCTGATTTTATTGAGCTGCGGTATGAAGAAAGGCTTTATTGCGGAGTTGCCACAATGGGTGAAGCATCAGATTAAAGAAAAAAAGGGAAAGAAAAAATAAAAAAGTTGTTCTTCTCTCTGCTTTTTCCCCTTGTAATGACTTCAAGCTACCGCTGGCGGGTCACTGGAAGCAGTGATTTGCCTGTTCTTTCTGGCTGGTGTTCAGCAAGGGACAGAAAGCACTGCTGCTGCCTCACGAGGTCCCTATCTCTCTGCTGTTCCCTATCTCTCTGCTGTTCCCTATCTCTCTGCTGTTCCCTATCTCTCTGCTGTTTCCTATCTCTCTGTCTTCTCCCAGCTGCAAATGAGCAGCTTTGAGCTGATAAAGCAGCATCTTACTGCAGCCAATGCCCTTTTTCTTTCAGCATTGCTCTGGGTCTCACCCAAAAAGCAGCAGCTGAACTCTGCTCACAGCATCCAAACTGGGCAAAGCAACCTCTTCATTTTCCTTTCCAACCAGCAAGAAGGAACTACAGAGGGGGACCTCTGCGATCAGCAAGGGCCACCTGTAAGCTTTCCCATCCAACCCAAGCAGCTAAAGGAAATTCAAGGCTACCAGAGGGAAAAAAAATGAAGCTCTCCAAAGCACAGACTGTCAGAAATGTTGCCCTTGTTCCTGTCCTGGGAGGATGGAGAGGTAGGCAGTCTGATATTTTTGTTATTGAACTCAAAGACTCACTGATAACTGCTCAGTTAAACCCAGAAGGTTCCCATGAACGTCTGCAATTCCATGCTACTGGCTTTTTCTGGAACACCTGTGAGTTTTCTCTATGCAAAACAGCAAAAGCTCAAAAAGCAAATTAAGAACATGTTTTGATCCTGAACCTATAATTATTTCTAGCTAACTTAGATTAGTGACACTAATTATAACTGGGCACTGTATTATGTTTAACTATGGGTGTCTGCCTGTCCAGCTGAGCAGCAACACCAGGACAACATCTGCTGATGTTTCCAAACCACTGCTGCAGAAAATAAACTGTTATTGAACCTGAGACAGCAAAGGTGTCATCTCGTTCACCACTATTACTCCAAGGCACGAAGAAATGCCTTAAGAGCTACCCAAGAAAGGTTGGAAAGAGATGGTTTGGTAAGGGCAGCTCTGAACATGGAGGAAATAATCCATTGGCCCAACAAGGGTCTTCTGCAAGCAAAATTTTCTGCAGGAAAATGCTTTTTCCTCCCAGTTATGGAGGTCCTCTCCCATTTGGGCAGCTGTAAAGCAGGATGGATCATGCTAACAAGAAGAGCTGAATCATTTTGAGCTTTCCCAGAGTTAATCAAGTAAAAGTATTTATGTTTTATTGTCTCTCCCTTCCACAAATTGGTATCTAAAGGCAGGGTTCTCACAGAGGTCACAGAATGTAAATGGAAAAATTCTTTTTACTCCTTGTTCCTATTTCATTCAGCATGCATGAGCTGCCTGGGAATATAATGCCTCCCAGTCCCTGGAGCAACTTAGGCATTAAAAAGGAAACAAAACAGAAATTAATCTTGGGGGAGAGGAGAGGTGAGGAGAGGGGGGAAGGGGGAAGGGGGAAGGAGAGGGGAGGGGAGGAGAGGGGAGGAGAGGGGAGGAGAGGGGAGGAGAGGGGAGGAGANNNAGGAGAGGAGAGGAGAGGAGAGGAGAGGAGAGGAGAGGAGAGGAGAGGAGAGGAGAGGAGAGGGAAAAAAAATGAGGCAAGAGGAAAGAAAGGGGAAGGGCAAGGCAAGGCAAAAGCCCTCTAAGAAAGAAACTCCTTTAGGCAAGAAAATGCTTAAGGTGACTGCCACCAAGAGAGGCAGGCGCCAACCTGCAAAATGCACAAAATAGTTCATCTTCAGGACTCACATTCTTGGAATCATAGAGTCAGAAAAGACCTCAGAGAACACTGAGCCCAACCATTGCACAGTCACATCCCCACACTGTTAATGCCATGCCCACACATCTCTTAAATACCTCCAGAGACACGGACTGCAGCACTTCCATATCTGCCTCCATGCTGATGCAACACAGCAGAGTGCCCTTCCAGCTAAGAGCTTTGGAGATTGATGAAATATCAAAGTGAAACAGAGATAGAAACAATTTACTGCAAGTCTGCTGCACTACAGAGTCAGTAGATATTAACCCTTGCGGATGACCCATCAGAGATTTGATTCTTAATTGGACTTGTGTTATTTTCTCCTTCTTTAGAATGGAGAAAGAAAAAAAGAAAGGGTTGAAGAGCTTTTTTTATCCCCTTATTTCTTCCTTATTACAGAGGCTATTTCTCCATCTTGCTAAGAAGGATTAAATGCCGTCGGAAAACATCCTTGGCAAGGATCAGTGAACAGGAAAGTTGAAGATGCTTTTCCTTGGGTTGATATAAGAGCTGCTGTGAGACCATCCAGCATGCAAAGGGGAAAGAGCAAATTGCAGATTCCCTGTATAATCCCAGCTAGATGCTGGGAAACTGGGGAGGTAGAAGTTATAAAAACAAATTCAGGTGTTTCACTGCTTTCTGCTGCAAAATCCTGGGCTGCTTCACAGTTAAACACTAATAGTATAAGGACACGATGGGAATTTGCCACTGACTGCAGCTTGGCTGAGAATGGGAAAGAGAGAGGACTGTTACAAGAGAATGAAACATAGGAAGAGAGAAATAAAGGTATTCTGCAAAGGCAGAAAAACAATTGAGTCGATACATTTATGCTTTGCTCCAAACAAAGCAAGGCAAATAAAAACAATCAAATCCTCACCCCCTAAACAGTATCCCCTCCCCAACCCAAGTTTCCTGATGGCTTGCTTAGAAAAGATGAAGACATCGATGATTTAAGAGTGAGCAAAAAACTACAGACTCCTTGTGCCCTGCACTGGCCTGGAGGGCAGCTGGTGACATTCCCAGGCATTTTCCCTGCCTCGATCAGTTCAGCACCTGATAGGGCACATCAGATTTACATTTCCCAAATCCAAAAAGAGACCTTAACATCTGTGAGAAAGCAAAGCTCAGCCTTGTGCTATCGGGCCTCTCGTGCATAATTTTAGGGGAAAAAACAACAGAGGAAATAAAAATGTGGTGGTTTCCAACATGTGAGTAAGATGGAAAGCCAATGCTGAGAGCAGTAATTGCCCAGGGATATCCTTCCCAAGGGCAATCTATGGCAGTCCAAATTTTTCTTGTGTGCTTCCTTCTGCATAAGAAGGGCTTAAGAATGTCACTCATCCCAAATCCAAGCACAAATCTTGGGCACTTCGGTGATGGATATCAGCCAAGCTCAAAACTCCATCCTTGAGCTGCTCAACATCACAGGTGAGGTTAAAGTTTGATCCTAAGGAAGTCCACATCTTTTGGAAAACTGGCCAAAACCCAAAACTGTACTCAGGATGTGGATTTGGGTCACAACCTTCTCATTGGCTTGCTGCAAACTTTCCATTAAGGTGGTTTGCAGCTCTTTTTGAGACTAGAATAAGCGTATAGTGAAACACAACAAATGCCCCATGGCCAGAGACAAGACATGTTAATACATTTACCCGAAGCTCAAGGCACCGTCACCTTTCCATGTCAACACTGCTCTCCTCAGACTGGCAATTCAAGGACAATATTCTCATCCTGGCTTTCCATTGGCAGTTGCCAGGGTTGAAGCTGTTTCTGGGCTGACAGCTCTTGGCAACACAGACGGCCATTTCTAACTTAATTCCCTCCAAAACTTGACAGCATCAAATCCAATTTATATTTAAAACCTGGAAGTCGCAAGCAGATGGGAAGAACGGCGTTCTTTATCTGAAGAGCATTTAAGGGGATGCCAGAAAAATCACAACGCTCGCTCGAAAGCACTTGATATTCATCAAGGCTCAGCAATCCTTATTGCCATCACTGGTTTGTCTCCCTGTCCTTCCTAATTAAGAGCACCACGTTGGTAGGTTAATGGATAACGCAACAGGCAGCTCCTGTAATGGGCTCTTGACATCCTGCAAGGCAGATGGAAGCGGTCGCCTCTTTTATGGTGCTTTCTCACCCCATTTCTGTGCCTGTTGTGCTTCCTGTTGGTAGCACAGCAGAGGTTCCATTCTCATCTGCACTCTGCAGAGATGGCACTCAATAAATGTGAAGCACTGCAGCTTGGACTGGGCAAACTGCTTCCCCACCTCGATTTTTTCGTTCCGATCAAGAAAGGGTCCAAATGAATCAGAGGAGTTCAAGAAACATTTAGATGTTGCACTAAGGGATGTGGTTCAGTGGGGAAATATTGGTGGTAGGTGGGTGGTTGGACTGGATGATCCTGTAGGTCTTTTCCAACCTTGGTGATTCTGTGATTCGGTGATTCTGTGATCATCTGAGACATCCAGGACAGTCAGTTCTTTGAAAAATTAACTCAGTGTGGCACATATTTCCCAAATAGCTTCTACTTTACTGAGCCACTATTCTATACATCACTGCAAGTGGAAGCCCAGGAAAAATACATAATCATTTCACCCTCATTTAGATAAAACCCCATATCCAGAAAGCACCACCAAGTACCTCCAGTGGCAAACCCAAAGTTATACCCAAGGAGTTAAAGAGAAAGCTTTCATATGTGAACCTTGAAGGAAATAAATAATAATAATAATAATAATAATAATAATAATTAAAAAAAAAGACATAATCAACACCAAATTACTACAGTTCTGTTAAAGATTATTCTGGAAAGAGCTAAGAGAGATTCACATCTTTGCAAGCACAGTGCCAATAGTTCTCCATAGGAGAAATCCCCACTGCAACTAAAGATTTCTCTCTATATCCAGCATTTGTGATGGAAAGCTTAATTACCTGTGCTGGAAAGCTGCTTGGATTCTCAGGCCTTGGTAGCGGCCAATGATTTAAACACAGATTTCATGGTGCACGGAAATAACTGCTGAATTTATGATTATGGTTTATTTTGGTTGATATTTATGCACTGTTTGAAGAGAGATGTAAAAACAAATGCGACATGATTTCTGGGTATCGTATACATGTCTTGCTTTCCGATGCTATTACTTGAACATTAATTAAATGTGGGAGTGTGCTATGAGACAGCCAGCACCACAGCAGTCAATTACTAACTTTGCTAAGGTTGCTCTAGAAAGTGCTGTTACATTCCCACTCAAGACACAGGTCTCAGATATAAATGCAGCAGGGAAAACTACCTAAAAACAAATTATTTTCCTCCCCCAGAACAGAGAAAGAAGCCAGGAGGACGTTGACCTGATCCACAACCTACCTGGGGAAGCAGCAGGGAGCAAACAATGCTCAAAGTGGACTCAAAGTTGTCTTTCAGCCACAGCCCCACGGCGTGGATGCAGCCTCGCACGTGGATGACATCGAGCAGCTCCAGGCGCTGGAGGAAGGTTGAAAAGAAGCAGCAAAGTCAGAATTGAGGTTGTGGGTTTGGATGGGTTCGCTCTGTTATGCAAAGGAGCGCCATGGCAAGCTTTTGGGAATCCATTTCTTAGACTGGACTTCTTTTCCCTGGGTTTTCTTGCTAAAAAACAGTCCCTTTACAGCCACAGTCCTCACTGCGCCTCTCTGCTGTGACACAGTCCTACAGCCACCCCTGGGGGCCTCACAATCAGTTCTACCACCAAAACCAAAACTCAGGGCCAGCATTTGCTAGGACTGACCAACGAGAGCTCATTTGTCCCCAAAAGGCCCCACCAAAGCCTGCATTCACCACCCAAACGTGCCGCGTGCCTTTGAGCCCATGCAGGACCTTGGGATGCTAATCAATATAATTAAAAATAAATTTATATACAGTCGCAGCAATAGCTGTCCCTATTGGGAAAAGCCTTCCACTGTGAGGCAGAGCTTCAGGTCATTTTAGGGGTGCTTTGGGAAGGGCTTCACAAGGGTTTCTTGTACAGAAGAAGGAAAAAGCAAACATCACCTCTTTATCGAGTGTCCTGTATCCACACAGGGTGTTAATGACTTCTCCAGGGACCTGTGAACAGAGATGGCACAAACTTGGGCTGGAGGAAATCAAAGGCAACAGATAGGAAATAAGAAAATGATTTTCTCGAACTACCTTCCCCTTTGGTTTCTGCCATTTCAGAGGATGCTTCTCATCTCTTCTCCAGTGATTCGAGCTGGGATCACCTCCACATTACGTGAGCATTGAACAAAGCAGCTCTGTAAAACGTTCCCTTCATTTTCCCCTTGCTTAATTCTAACCTCCTTTTCTCACATTTTCAGCTGCGCCTCTCCTTCATAACAAAGGGAATTTCACAAGGATTAAACGTATTTGGTTTTCCAGAAATCAAAAGGGAATTTTCCCAAAGCCTCCCAGCACTTTAGGGAGAAACTTTAGGATTTTAGATTCTGAGTGCTTAGATCACTGTTGGCCAATGAATGCATCTCAAGAGCTGCAGCTAATGAGAGAAATCCCAGCCAAACGCTGCTGTTCTGGAGCTCTATAAAATTAAATCAGTCCAAATTCTTCTGCTTCCATCAGGATGGAAGGGGTACATTTTTAATGGACTACAGCATTTCCTAACGTTGGTTACAAAAGCAATTCTTACCCATCCCATGAAAAGCCATGCCAGGAGGGGGGGGGGTAGCTCCAGCATGTCCTGAGCCAGTCAGTTACTTCATACATCTCAGGACTGATCTTCTGATGTTGGCTTTTCACCTGTTTTTGGCTTATTTCATTAGGAAAACAGCATCTTCCATAATGCTGTGAGATTCTAAAGGGGCCTTGTATCCATAGAATAAGAACAAGCTGAAATGATCACACTTTCAGAAAGATGGCTTTGGCAACCAGCAAAAGCTCCTGGATAACAAAACAAAAACTTCCCGTGCTTTTGGAGGCACAGAGATGAAAAAGAAATGTGCACATTTAGGGGTAAATTATGCTTTCCTGCAAGACACAGCATAAAAGAAATGTGCACTTTCAGGTCCCAGCCATAAAACTGCAGCTTGTTCCTTCTGTAATTGGCAGGGAAATTATCCCAGTGATACTCTACCAAGACTGCCTACGTTACTCACAAAATCCCTTCTCTCATCACTTCAGTGCTCTACTTACAGACTGGCATAAAGAAGGAGACTAATTAGTCCTTGTGCCTACTAAAGGTTTGCAGGGAAATCCGGAGATTGGCAGCAAAGCACCTGCTGGTGTTTCTGGGATGAGGTCTCACCCTGGGTTTGGCCCATGAAATGGAGAAAATGGGTATGGAGAACTTGCAGTTCTCTCACTGCCATTGCCAGCAGTGCTACAAAGGAACACGTGCATGATGGAGGATCCATCTATTTCATTTGCATCATAAACAAAGAAAGGAATTCACAAAAACCCAATAACCCCCAAACCATCGTTCTTGGCAGCTTTCAGCTGGCCTTGCTGCTCACATGTGGACATCATAGGATCCTTACTGGTGACACAATTGCTTTCTGTAGGGCTCGTCCATTTGAACATCTGGCTGCAGCACAAATTGCCACTTTTCTTCTTTCTTGCATCAAACACTGAAGGGTTTCTCAGTCACCCCCAGTCCTGCCCATCCGTTCCCTCAAGAACTTGCACTGGGGCTAAATGCAGAAAGAAGAAAAGCGATGCTTCAGTTTTGATCAATTTTTTTGCCAAGATGTTGCATGGAAGCAAAGGTCAGAGCTGAATGGATATTCCCAATACAAAAAGAGGTGACAGCCCTTATTCTACCTGAATTAATTTTGATGCATCCAGAGGCCACAAAACAGCAGCAAACCCAGACATTTTAAACCAACCAAGGGCAAAAGGCTGTGATCTTTGGATGCTTTTTATAACTGACTGCTTTCCCCCCCAAAACCTGTGCCAGATGTCAGCAGTTCCATTCAAAAGGAGACATCGTTCTTGGCAGAGGCACAGCTACCCACACTTTCCCCACAAGAAGAATAAATGCATTGGAAAATCACTGAGAAAAGTGCTCAGAGATGAGGATCCCATCTCAGCCCCTTAAGTAGGTGCATATTTGCCCATTCCTTACTCTTGGGTAGACCTTGGAGATGAGACTCTTCAAAATAGCAAGAGAAATTTTGGAGGATGTCTGTTCTCATTAATACAACTCAGCCTGCCCTGGGAGATGCCCAAGGGGATGCAATACAATGCTTTGGAGGGATTTGTAATAGGAAAAATCTCCCCTCAAAAATGGGATGGTTTTAGGTCTGCATTCAGTGACAGGTTGACGACACATTGCAAATGACCTCCAAATCCATGTTTCAGGCTCTTTCCTCCAGACAAACTCACAAAGTAACCACTCAAACAAAGGAGCAGTGCACCACGTCCAACAAAAGCTCCCAGCCCGGACCTGCCACTTGGAATGGGGCACAGAAGGAACATCTGCTGCCTGGGATATTGCTGTCTTGTGTTGCCTTGGTTTGTAGGACTGAATCAAGAAGCCTGAGAGCAGAAGGACTGATGAAAAAGCTGTTTGCTTTGCTGCTATTCACTTCAAAGAGGCACAAATTCATACAGGGCCAAGGTAAGATCTTTTCTTCAGCTTTTAAATGCAATATTTTGGTGGAAAGAGATTTGAGCAGGGTTTTTGCATCACTCAACCCAACCAGCTATGTCCAACCATCCTCATCCCACAGTGCTTCTCCCACCTTCTCAACCTGCAGGGCTAACTCTCATGACAGCTTTGCCATTTCAACACATATCTACGTACAGAGCTGTGCTGGAGCTTACACAAGATGCAGTCATGGGATGTCTCACTTCCCATAAAACTTCTCCACCTGTCAGAGACACACTCACAAGCTCTAATTGTTGAAGTTAGTGTACAGGATTTGCCATGGGCTTTCCCTCCCAGCAGTTAGGGCATCCTCCAGATCTGGCTCATTAAAGTGGGAAGCCAAAAAGTTGTCTACTGAATCAACTTTTTACAAGGGTAGAAAACAGCAGGACAAGAGGGAATGGCTTTAAGCTCAAGGAGGGAATGTTTACATTGGATATCAGTGGGAAGTTCTTCACACAGAGAGTGGTGAGGTGCTGGAACAGCTGCCCAGAGAGGCTGTGGATGTCCTGTCCATCCCTGGAGGTGTTCAAGGCCGGGTTGGATGGGGCCCTGGGCAGCCTGGTCTGGTATGAAATGTGGAGGTTGGTGGCCCTGCATGTGGCAGCGGGTTGGAGATTCGTGATCCTTGAGGCCCCTTCCAACCCTGGCCATTCTATGATTCTATTACTTATCCCACCACATTCAATATCTGTGTTATCTTCCATCTCCAAAACAGTTTGCCAGGTGAAGAAGTTTTGTTTCCCAAGTTGTCAAAAAACCACAGGGAGTGTAAAAATACTGAAAAATGCACTTGACTTTCTCCAAAACATCCTCACTAGAAATAAAAGAAAGGACAGGACATGAATTTCTAATTCCATCTTCAGGAGCTGACAGAGATCCTTAATCAACGCCCTGATTAGAGAAAATAATTATTTTTGCAGCTGATTTGCATGCCAGCCTTCCACTGATAACAAAATATATCAAATTTCCCCCTTTTTTTCCATTAAAAAATAAATTAAAAGGCCAACAACAATGCTAGATTTAAGATACGTGCAAGTATGCAAGCAAGTTCTGCACAAGTTCAGAGCTGGCTGGTGTTCATCATTCCATCAGTACTGCAGTCATCCAAAGCAATTTGCTGGGGGCCCAGGGGTCCATTACTGGTGTTAAAGAGAGTAAATTATTTTCAGCAATATTGGCAGCATTTTTAGCCACAGCAGCTGAGGATATTTGCACTTTTTCTTGCCCAGCTCCTGGCTTTTTCCTAAACTCTTCCCATGTCTCCTCTAACAGCAAAACTCACAAAACCTCTTTATTATGAATGTGAAGCCCATACTGCTAAACCCAGTGGCAGCAAGCTGAGAACAGCAAGCCACTGCACAGGAGAGCAAAAGGAAAGGACAACAGCTGATCCTGATCCATGCTGAGATACAGCCAAGTCAGCTAAAGATGCTGCTCTTTGTCAAACCATCCTCCAAAACCAGATGTAATGTCTGACAGTAGGTAGAAAGATGGGAACCCAGCATTTCAAACAACCTCTTGGCACAATACAGCCCAGTGCTTTGCTATTCACACTGCACTAAAGCAGGCAGAGCCCACCAAAACACAGCTATCCCAAGACAGAATTCAAAATGGCAACACAGCTTATAAGAAGCCAGAGCAGAAACCAGTGAGAAGACGGGATTTTGCTGAAATAGAGGCATTTTCTGTGCCTTGTCTGCCTTACCTTCCTGATGCAGCATGTGTAGGGCACGCCGCACGCAAGCGGTCCGCTGCCATTGCAGGAGTGGTACAGATTAACCTCCCAGTCTCGGTATTCATCACCACCACAGCAAGAAAACTGCAAAGGAAGAAAAGGAAGGGATAAGGCAGGCAGATGTACAAAGTGTGATGTTTCCAGCCCGCCCTTGCATCTCCCTCCAGCCTTATATTGCATCTCTGGTGCTGCTGGTATGCAGAGATCCCCAGTTACTTCTTGCTTTCTGGAACCCTAAGTTGGAGGCTGAAGATGGCATGTTAAAAACCAACCAACCAAACAAAAAAAGGCAGCATTTTAGTTTAGCAGCATTTTAGAGACATGCAGCAGATAGAGGACTGTGCACACATGTGTTGGAGGCATCACAGCTTTCACAAGCCCAGGAAAGATGAGGCTCATTCATGCTTTGCTCCAGCTGATTTAATTACAGGTAACTAATCCATCCTATTCCCAGGGCATGCAAGAGAGATGCTCTTTCAGTGCCTTGAATGAATGCTCAACTAGTTGGTGCTATTTGGCAATATGCTGATAAAACTCCAGTGTCTAACAGCCATTTCTCTTCCCGTCAGGTTAAATTAGAGATCAAATGCTGCAGCTACAAACGAAAAAAGCTTCTTTTTCTTCTGTTTGGGCAATAATATTAATAATAATAAAAGAGTAATGAATGTCATATTCCGCTCTCCATGGAATAAAAGTGGGCTTAATATATCCTGAGTCATCCCTTCTTTTGGTAAACAAGCTTCAATCTGAACAATCTTTCCCCCTCAAAAGAGTGGGCAGGGGAGGGAGGAGGTGTGTGTGTGCTCAGCGAGACAGAAAGGGTTTTCCCCACTTCTTTTAAGCACAACAATCTCCAAGGAACAGTTCTGGAGACAGGTTTAGCTCTGGGAGCATCTGTTCCCTTTCCTGTAGATTGCTGGCAATACTTGGCCCACAGGAATAGGAACAGACACCAGCTCCTCAGGTTGGATTTCAAACTATGTTTTAACCTGCCTTTATTGCTTTTAATGCCATCTGTGTCAGTGAGGGAGGCGAGCCTGCAGAACTAGTTCAGGAAAAAAGGAGGAAAACCCCCAGAGGAATATTGGATATTGCTGCACTACTCGATATTCTGGGGCTGCAAAGAAGTTTATTCCACTTGCTTTTCTTGCAAGAATTGATATAAAATCCTTGTAATGAGCATTACTGACTGCAGGAGAGCTCCCTGGGGTGTTTTCTTCCCTGCAAAGAAAGGCTTAGGCTGCACTGCTGTTGTGCCTGGACTTATTTCCTATAAGCTGAGACAGACCTGGATCTGTGTTTTACTTTCATGGGGGCTTGCAGAGCTCAGAGGGGGATAACAAGCAGAAACCAACAGCAGAGCCTGCAGACGGAGCCTTGCAGGCTGCTTTGGGAAGGGCCACACACGCTCATCGCAGCCAATGCCATCATCCTGTGCAGCAAAGCAAAGTGCTCCAAGATGTGCAGGTGGGAGCTGCCTTTCATCTTCCTGAGAGAGAATGAAAGAGGTGTGCAAGCACAGTGCCTTCCTCCCTGTGAGTCTTACTTTGAGTTTGGAGCTGTTTGGGTTTGAGCGTGAACCACCATCGCTTTGAAATTCAAATCCTGGCTTTGAACTTCCCCTCTCCTACCTGTGCTCAGCAAACCACCAAAAAGAGACAGACGAGGAGCAGCACAGAGCTGCACTTCATCACTGGCAGCAAAGTGGGGCTTCTGACTCATCGTGGCCTCCAACCCCACATCCCTGTGCTTGCAAAGGGCAGCAGCTCATCACAAATGAGTAATACAAATGGATAAGTATTATTTCTTAAGGACAATTCATTCTAATACCTGCCATCTCACAGGCAGACAAAACAAGTCGGTCTTGGCAGACAAACCCACCTTACTTGAGCAATAATCATGGTATATAAAATATTACCATCTCATGCTTCTACACACAACTGTTCTCCAGGAAAGGACCACCATTCCCTGCTGTTTTTATGTACGAAACCAGGTTAAGTGTGTGCAGGCATTCAGCACAGGCTGAAAGCATTGCTTGACAGAGGGTGAACACCAAATTTCAATCCTAAGGAGCATGGTGTGGTTTTCCCTGAGCTAAACCAGCTGTGTGCCAGCTAACCTGCAAGCAGACGAGGCTTTGGCACAGCAAATGGCCAGGGAAGAAAGAAGTGGTGGTAACAGGGTGCTGTGAGCTTGCGTTTTGACTGCAAAATACCCCAAGTCTGGGTGCAATCCTTCCATGCTGGCTACATATTTTCATCGTTCCAAGGTGAAGCAGGCTGCTCAGGTCCTGAAAAGCCCCACAGGAGCCCCCCATCCTTTATGAGAACACCATCAGCAGCTCAGCTGTGTTTTATGGAACCCAAGGGCTGTCGAGCTGCCAGAATGCTGCCATTTCTCGTCTCTTGAAAGCAGTTATGCTTCTGCATTGCTTCTCCCTGCTCCTGTCCTTGGCGTGATGGGATGGTGCCTTTCAATCACTGATATGCTGGTTCCTGGTTTGCAAATGCTGTGCTAACACAAGAGCTCACAGCAATGAGATGCAGGCTCTTGCAAAGCTCCTTTTCTTGCTGGAACACAAAACGTGCAAAGACTTTTCAGCAACGCCAGAAGTGGCCACAACTTCTAAGTACAGAGAGAGACTCTGAGATGAGTATCTCCAACAGAAAACCTTAATAAAAAGTCAAGTGAAGAGGTCAACAGGAAAATACATAAACAGGGGCTGAGATCATACAATAAGTGCCTGATCCTCGCTTGGTTGGAGACACAGAAACCTTCCTGCAAAGAGATCTTGTCCTCACTCCTTGCCAAGGCACACTGAGGATGGCTCCTGTACTTTCTGATGGCTCGTGGCTGCATCCATTTATCTTCCATTCAGAGAAGACCAAATTACAGCATCCTCCCAGAGAGGTTGGAGCCAAGCTTTAGAAAGATAAAGATCTTCCCTGAGATCTCTTAAGTCTCGAGATCTTCAGAGGGCTCCCAGTCATACTGATGCATTTGGTTCAGTAATGATGGCTGCAGGAGACAGAGGTGGGTATTTACAGAGAGGGGAACATGGAGGGCACCATCAGCCTTCAATTTCAGCTACATCAAGGGAACTTCATGGGTTCCTTCAAAGCTGGAGGTAAATTTCACATATCCATGAGGCTCCAATCCATTATGAAGAAACATTAATCAGAATGCAGCTGTGGTGGCAAAGCCTGGCTCCTTTCCCCACAACGAAGCTCTGAGTGTGCAACTTCACTGTGATTTCTTCCTCTTTCCTCCCCTAGATCTCAAGGTTTCGTTTTTCCCCCCGTTTTCCCTCAAAACATTCACCAAAAGCTTTGAGCCAAGCATTTCCCCTCTCCCAATAAGACTCGCAATGGACATACCAAATACATTCCATCAAAACAGGAGCAAAACTATATTCCCCAAATTCCCATGAACTGTTTCCTTACCAGTGCTGGAAAACAAAGCAATAAATTAGAGCCAACCATGCTTGTCTGAACTGGGTAAAGACTTCAAGTCTGACCCTTACAGAAGGTTTGTGAGCTGTCTGCTAAATGCACGTATTACATGAGAATGGCTTCAAGGAGAAGGGTTAGCATGGCAGAGTTCTGTCCATAACCCACCACTGGCAATACAACTCAACCACCTGCCTTGATCCTGCGTGTAACTTAGGGGCTGTGTCTGAGAGGTCCTGTGCCAGGGACTGATCCCTCCCTGTTTGGATGTTCAGTTCATTTGGAGGGATGCTCCACATCCCTGTGCACTGCAGGGGAGTTGGACTTGATGACCCTTAAAGGTTCCTTCCACCTCTAAGGATTCTACAATTCTATGATCGTTGCTCTGAAGCACACCTACCTTGGGTTTTTTTGAGATGGAGGGGAGGAACAGTGAGAAACAGGAACAAGGAAGACATTTTATTTGATACACTGCCTGATCAGCAGAAATCTCAAAAAAGCTACGCAGTGCATGAAATATGAGGCAACAGCAGCCAAGGCACATAATAAGTTTGGTACAAAAAGAAGTGATAGCTGCAAGGAGAGCAGTTTATCAATCTGAAGGTTGGCCTGAGAACAGGAGACAGATGGTGCCAAGCCATGGCAGCCTCTAAGCATTAGGTGCCATGCTTAATAGATGCACAGCCACGCAATTAAAGAAGCTCCAGCAGAATGGCCAAGCCCCAAAACAGGACTGGGTGCAGATGAGCACTGCTCTTGCAAGTCCTTGGGGCAGCTTGCTCACAGTGCTGCCCGTGGAAAGCCAGGGGTTCTTCTTTCCTCCCAGCTACCAGGAGAAAAGAAATTCTTGGAAGTTTTCCCATCAAGTCAAGTGCTTGCCTGGCTCAATGACACATCTCAAAAATAGTATCTAAGGCAGCCCACCTGAGGGTTGCTGCGGCTTGAAGAGGCTTTTACACGTTTTAGTTCATTCTTCCAGCTGTTCCGCTGCAGTTTGGGATAATGACCAAAGAGCTTTCAGGAATTGGATGCTGATTTTCTATTGGCTATGGGAAATACAAATATCCCAGTGAGGTCTCCTTGTCCATGCCACAGCATAGAACTGAAGGATGTTTTCATAGCACACACCAGGAGAAGGTGCTCGTCAAAAACAAGGGGGCAATTGGAGGGCAACTGCATGAAGGTTAACATGGGCAGTGACAAATTCTGCAGCTGGGATGGATACATGTGCAGACTGGGAGATGAGAGGCTGGAGGGCAACCCTGGGGAAAGGGATCTGTGGGTTCTGGTTGATAGTAAATCAAATCTGAGCCAGCAGTGCGCTTGTCCTTCAGTGAGGCACAGAGCAAACCACTCGTTATGCTTCCCATCCTTGCATGCTTGTAAAACTTCATGAGCCCCCTCCCCATTATGCCACCATCCCTCCAAAGCCAAACCTTTTCTTGGACAAAATCCAAGATGTTCTTGAAGTCAAGGTCGTCATAATAGTGCCGAATGCCCTCTTGAATGTTAGAGTGCAAAACTGCATTCATCTGGGGACAGGAGAAACATAAACACATTTCACACTTGGAACAGACAACAGCAAATTATCACAACCTATGAAAATCTGCAGAGAAATCTTTTCATAGCGAGCTTTGCTGGCTGTTACTGGAACAAGAATCTAACTTGCATGCTGCCCCAATCCTGTTTTTGGGGCATAACTGATCATTTTTGAGTTCTCATAGCCGCATCCACCATCCTTCACCCACCTGAGATTTAATATGTGCTGCATATCCAATTGAATTATTAGGGTGACGACTTCTTGACAGCTCCCTACAAACATCCAACCTCACCATCTGAAGTAGCTTTAATCCCTGGTGGGGTTGCTCTGCAGCTGGAAGAGGCAAAACAGCCTCTGACAGCCACCACCACCCTCAGATGAGCTGCACATGGGAGCAGAGTCCTCACCAGAGCCCTCAATCACCACCAATCCCAACAAACCTTCTAGTGATGCAGCTGTGCCCATGGAGCAGCACCGTGGCTCTGTGAGCTGCATGCATCTCCGAAGGAGCTTTGATGCTTCAAATTAAATGCTAACCAAATGGAAAATGCATTTCATAGATGCATGGGAAGATTATTTGTGAGCTGGGAGCAGAGCCTCCAAATGTGCTATGCCAAGCCTGGCGTGGGTTTGCCACTTTGCTCCTGAAAAAGGGCCAGGCAGAAATGCTAATGGAGGAAAAGGGAACATTTTCTGAGTTAGAAGTGAGGGATGAGAGGAGAAAAAGAACGTTGTTCTTCATAATTCACTCTGACATGAAAATTAGGGGTTGGGCAAACTGGGAGCAGGGAGATAAGATGGGAAGAACAGAAAAAAAGAAGAAAATGAAGGCATGTCAGAGTGGGAAACAAAGCCTGCCGACAGTGAGGGATCAGGTAGAGGAACTGAAAAAGCCTTTCAGAAACCACCCCTGTGAACACTGATTCAGACATTGCTCCATGGCTTTCCCAACACAACAGGCAATGCCCGGGTTCTGCTGCTCCCCGTTTCTTTCCTCCCCAGATGGGCCCTGCAATCCCACCACCCTCCCATATGACCCCAGGTTGGGTACAGTGTCCCAGATGAGATCTCAGCTCCAAGTGCTGGAGATAAGGCTGCAGGGAGGACATCAAATGTGTTATAATCCCCCAAACCACCTGCGTATCAACAGAGTGCATTTCAGTACTCAGCAGTGCAAGACCACTGTCAGCTCCCCCTACTTATTTAATACAAAACCCAATCGAATCTCCTTGACTAGCTTGACAAGCATTGCTCCAGATGTAGATTTGTGCCTCCTCACAATTTTAGGTTGGGTGGTTCATCACTTGTTGGGTCTCTTTTCTCTCCGCCCCGCTGTTTGATTTCCAAATTACACATTAGATTTAAATTAAGGGATGATTTATGCACTAATGGTTTGATTCATCCCCTGAGTTTTCCTGCAAAGCTGTGATCCCCTCTCCTGCTGCACGGGGCGATGCTGAGCATCAGTACAAGGGAACAAAGGTGGAGAGAGGGAGCAAAGTCAGCAATTTTGTGCCATTTTCTATGAAAATACAGCCAGCACGTGCTGTGCCAGCACATATTGATTTCCTTTACATGGGAAGGACTCCAGTGCTCTGATTTTCCTTATAGAATCACATCTCCCCACTGGTTCCCTGATACCCTGCAGCTCCCCACAACTGGAGGGTTTTGGAGAGCTGCTGGGCAGAGCTGGCTGCAGCATCCATTCATTCTCCTTCCCTTCCACTTTGGGTCTCACCAAGTGCCTGAATCCCAAACCCAGCCCCAACCCATCAGCCTTTGAAGGTTTGAAAGCATCAATTTGTCTCTGCAAAAGTGAATTGATGTTTAGAGCCCTTACGTACATATTTCAGATGTTGTTCTCCATCCAGCAGAGGCTGAGATTTGATATTTAATTGTATGATTGATTACAATAGTAAAATAAAACCGAATACGGTGTGCTTTCTTCAGCAGAAACTGGGCAGCGAGGAATACTTCCATTGGAAGTATTTACCAGTCTTGCTGGTTCAGCTATAACTCAAACCTGTCCTTGCACACAAGCCAGCAGTTAATGTAATTGAGACAAGGAGCTTAATGAGAAGCACAAGAATTTTTGGCTGGGAGACTGCATGGGAGCTGCTGCTGTGGTAAGAGCTCTGGAGTGCAAGGTGCAGCCTGAGAAGAACCAACATCTTCCATTCTCAGCTCATAGGCAGATGTAGACAAGAGGTGAGAAGGAAATCTCCCCCCAGCATGCATAGGGCTGCAGTTTGCCACTGTGCTAAGCCAAAGAGCAGCTCCTCCAGCCTCCTGATGGCACTCACCTTGTTTTCAAAGATGATTTCAATGAATATCAGCAGCAGCTCTGTGATGAAGATCACCAGAAGGACCCAAAAGAACTGGAAAGAGACAGAGAAGGATTAGCCCTGTTGCAAGCCAGGCTGCGTCCGCTGCCAGCAGTTAGCTGTGATGAGGGAGAGCTGGAAACCAAGAGATGCTCAGAGACACTTAGAAATCAGATCATTTCATTACAATCTCCCCAGGGAGCTCCAAATCTCCTCCAAAGATATCAGTCCTAAATTTGCTACCCGGTAGAATGAATGGCAGGAAGGAAGGATGGATCAAAAAAGAAACCAAATGTAATTTGGATGGCTAAATTCTGCGTGGGGAAACAGGCAAAATGGATGCAGTGGAAGCAAGTATTTCCTCTGAGTGGATATAGATGTGCAGAGAAATGCCAACACCTATTATGATGAGATGCCAGTCCTTAGCTGAACATTAATGTTTCCAGGCCAGGCATCCAATAGAAAGTTCTCCATCCCCAGAGCAGGGCAGTAACTCACATCTCTGACAGACTGATGGTGACAAATAAACCTGATCTGGAAATTGGTGTCCTGATGAAGCAAACAACTTCAGCTGGGAGGTTTGTTATTCCTGCAGCCCACACTCCTAAAGCCTCAGTCCTATGTGAGAGATCCCATCTGGGACTGTGCTCAACTTTGCAGAGGATGGACAGCAAAGCTCTGGTTGGCTCACATGCATCGACCTCCCCAGCACTACCTTCCTCTGCGGCTTTGGAGACTCACCATTAAAAGGAAGGTGGAAAGTTACCACGGTAACCAGCTAAAAATCCAAACAAAAATGGAAAAAAATAAAAAATAAAGCGAGTGGAGGTATATTATTACCATGATATTCACTTTGGCCACTGGTTTATTAGCAGAGCCTTGTTATGAAGCAGACATTGCACGGATCCATGTGCCCAGAATTTATTACCCAAGCTCAATGAGACTAAAGCAGCCCTGCAGCAGCATCCTGCTTGGTGTGCAAACCCCAAACTGCAGGGTTCTCATTAGCCACCCCTGGCTGAGTTGTGCACTGTGCTTGTTTGCTAACAGCCAACCACTGCAATCCCACTGGAGAAGCAGCACTGCTTTTCCCATCAGCTAAATCAGCTTCTAATGGGCCAAGTTTAATTAGGCAGGGAATCCCGTAACCAAACACCCATTATCCCATAGTCAGAGACAACACAGCATGCATCAAACCCGATGGAAAAGGAATTTGAGTCAGCAGGAAGCCCAGGGTGGTGCAGCTGAGTCTTCCCCATGTTCTGGCCATTGAGTGCTGCACACTGATTTCTTTGTTTCCCACTCCATCTCATTCTTGTGGTCTGTGTTTCTGCTGCACAGCTTGTCAAGTCAAGGCATAAAAAGCAAGATTCACGTGATGTAATCCAGTCTGCTCCATGCATACTGAAATCAAGGTTAATATTTCATGTCCGGGAGTCTTGGCTGGTTGACAGACAAACGTGGCCATATTTTGGATAAGTCCAGGGGATGTCAGCTGTACCTGGCTGTTTAGAAAAATGACTGCTTTTCAAATACTTCATCAGATGAGGTCCACAGCTATTAAAGCCCTTTGCTACCATGAGAGCAGAGAGTGAATGAATGAAAATGAATGAAAAGTGCAAGTTCTGTGTCAGAAAGACAGGCACAGAAAGGGAGAAGCTGGCAGAGGCTGATTGCCAATCCTTCCAAGAGGCAAAGTACAAACCTGGGGGGTCATGCAGGTGATGCCCAGCTGCCCCTGGACACCATGCAGCGTGTCACTTTGCCTCCAGAAAGACCAACATTTCCCTTATCACGTACAGAAGGTTGGCAAGGAAAGCAGCCACAAGCCCCATCTCCTTGCAGACCTTCAGCCTGAATGAAAACCAAGCAAAGGCTGAATGGAGCAGGCAGACCCTTCGCTGATTGAACTGATAAAGCAGAAAGTGCCTTTTGTTGTTGCTTTCCCAAGGACTGCAGCAACCATCAGTAACAGGAACACGTGTGTAGGAGCGAAAACGTTGTCAGTGTCTGCAATCACCCTTCTTACAAACGCATCACAGCCTTTGCTACCTGCCAGACCAGGCATGAATAAAACAGCATTTTACTTCCCTTAAAAAGACTCCAGCAGCACAGTGACTGAGCAAAAACCCACCCTAAGCAGCATTTAATCCTGCCTTGAGTCGCTGTAGGTTTGCAGCAAGCTGAAAAAAAAAATAAAAATCATAAAGTGAGTGAAAAAAAAAAAAAAGAATCGCAAAGCAAAAGCAGCGCACTGAGGAGCTGCAGAGCGCAAAGCAAAACATTTCATGAAGAAAAAATAGCCTTAAAAAAACCCTCGGCTGCCAATTTATCTTGCTCAAGATGTCTGGCAAAGAGAAAAGATTCTCAGTTGTCATTAAATTAACACTTGCTGCAGTCAGCTGCCCTTAACGAAGCTCATCGCTTTGAATACACTCGGAGCTGTGCCTTCCCAGGTAGCCTCCAAGTGCTCTTTCTGCCATCTCCATGTGTCAGGTGGGATGTCTTGCTGCAAAGTTTGCTCTCCCAGAAGCTTAAACATCACCTGAAATCCTTGGTTGGTGCACAGCAAGCACTTCTAGACGTGGGATGGATTGAAGAGGAGTGCAAAGCTGAAAGCGTTTCATTTCCAGAGTACGGGCATCACGCAGCCATCTCCAATTTGCAGCTTAAACACACCCACAGCAGGGCAGAAAGGATTGCCATGGGTCAGGGATGGGTGGGTGTTTCTGGAAGGTTGGATGCTTTACGGTGAGTAAACCATGCAGGGATCCAGCCTATGCAAAGTGCCTGCAGCCTTGGATGGAGGCAGAGCATTGCTCTGTGCTGCTGGGCTCTCAGCACTCTCATGGCCATGAGAGGCTCAAACCTGCTGAGCCTGAGTGTGACACGAATGGCATTTGGGATGGTAAAGGAACGCTCTGTTTGCCAGGGATGTGGAGGGGAAAGGATGCAGCCACAAGGATGGGAGAGAGCTCCTGGAGCCATGCAGAATAGAACCATAGAACCACTAGGGGTGGAAAGGACCTCCAAGACCACCCAGTCCAACCATCCACCCATCACTAGTATTTCCCACTGGACCACGTCCCTCAGTACATGTGCAGACCCATCTAAATGCCTCTTGAACACCTCCAGGGATGGTGACTCCAGCCATTCCAGCTTTCTCTTTCAGAGAAGTTTTCCCTAACGTCCAACCTGAGGCATGAGAGAGATCTGTAAGGTTTATTTAATACAAGCACCCTCACGGAATGTTTTATTCTTGTTGTGAGCACCACTAAGCCTCCCATTGGAATGGGCCTGTTATGCATTCACACAAATATGTCACCATGTCTTATTTTTGTCCATTTCTATAGTTGCTTCCCAAGGAAAGCAGCTAAGTCAGCCCACTGAAGCCAATACAGGAAAAGGGTTGGGATCTGCTAACACCAACAACAGGTTGGCAAGGGATGGAAAACCTGAATTTGTTGCCAAGACAAAAAGAAACTCATGCAATTTACCTTCTCTTCTTGTGAATCACAACCTGGGAGGGGGGGAGGGTTACACACATAGGAGTCTGCAGCAAAGCAATCCTTTGGTTTTGGACATATGGAGAGGGAAGTGGTTATTCCTTCTGAGACTTTGCAGAGCACCTTCTTCTATAGAAAAACAGCAATAATCCCCTCTGTCACTGTGGTGCCTGAGATGCTGCTTCATGCAAACTGTGGTGTTTTAGTTACAGGACATGCAATTTGCCTCTCCTGCTCCTCTGCCCATCCATCTCACTGGGTTCGAGTTGAAATACCCATTTCCTTTATGCTTCACCATCTGAACGACCAAGAAACCTGTTTTCAACTCCCAGAGGGCTGGCAGCTGTGTAAATAATTGGCTGGGATGACCCAAGAGCCCCAAGCACACAGCATGGTCCTTCCCCACCCAACAGATACGCAGCCCTGCCTGCACCCTGTCCTGTAGATGCCAGCTCTGAAGACCAAATATGCCCCTCTCTGCTCCCCACACCTACCAGAAAAGAATTTCTTTCCCTCATTTGGGTTTTTACAGACTTTCAGCCTCTACCAGATTGCCATCACTTCCATCTTAAAGGTAAAAGTCCTGTGACCTGGAACTGGAACAGGTTGCCCAAGGAGGTTGTGGATGCCCCATCCCTGGAGGCATTCAAGGCCAGGCTGGATGTGGCTCTGGGCAACCTGGTCTGGTGGTTGGCAACTCTGCACATAGCAAGGGGTTGGAACAAGATGATCATTGTGGTCCTTTTCAACCCAGGCCATTCTATGATTCTACGACCCTCCACTCCCATCCTGAGACCAAGTCAGATGTTGCAGTGCACCAGGCAGAGCTACAACACACTCATGCCCCCCCAGAAAACCACACAAAAGGAGGGTTTTATGAAGCCCCACTAATTCACTGCAAGGAGGGCTGTTGTTACTGCAGTTGCTGATACAGGGAAGAGATTTAAAAAGAAACAAACCTGCACAAGAAACAAAACAGAGCAAGCACCAAGTAAAAGAACACAATGTGCTGGGAGTTTGCTGGTGATGCTCAACATAAGAGCCTTGGGAAGAATAAAGCATGCCTTTTGTTGCTTGCAAAACCATCCTGAACCACTCCTAGAATGACAGCGAATGGAGACACAGCAAGAAATTGAATGTGAAAGTGGAAATAATCAGTGTGGCAAAGGAATCATTCACTCCTGCAGGGCTCCAGCTCCCTCCTTTCCCCCGGAGTCAAACCTGGGCCAAGCAAATCCCCATTGAAAGCACATCGCAGTGATTAAAGAGCCCCAATCAAGTGGTGACTAACCCTTAAAGAAGGAGATCAACCACTACTGCCTGCAGAAAGTTCCTCTTGCTGCCCTGGGGTTCCTGCATTGTCTCAGTCAAATGAAATGATAATGATTGTAGTAATGATAATGCAAAAGAAAAAAAAAAAAAAAGGATTCAAAGGAGAACTAATTAAGAAGGCTGGGAGGCCCTTGCAAAGCTTTTTCTGACTCTATATTTTTCTGGGATTGTTGTGTTGGAACGTTTTCAGATCTACCCCACTGCTGAGAGTGCAGC